GCGTCCGGCCCTGCTGGGCCTGGAGAGGCAGCCGGGAGCTGCACGGTCGCCGCCGTCCGGAGCTGTGGTGGAGAAAAGGGGAAGGGACGCAGAAAAGGAATACACGGGCTTTACCATCGTTTCTACCATCGAGCACTTCTGGAATTGAGCGTTGAAATCCAAGTCTCAGTCGATGGGGCGAGAAAACGACTTAGACACCGCAGCACAGGAAAGCCGGGCAGAGGAGGCGCGGTCAGACAAACCACGCGATGGGCGACCCAAGCGTGGAGACGAGAGAAGAGACAGAACGTGGGCCCCAAACGAGCAGGGGATGTTCGCAGCAGCAAGCATCCAGTCCAGAGTAAAATATAATCCCGACTTCCACTCTTGAGGGGAAAGCATTGTCACCGACAGTTTATGATTCAGTGGTAAGGTAAAGACAGAGTTCATAGACAGTGATTGTGGAAATAATTTTAAAAGAATGTACTTCAATAACTACATGTAACCCAGAAGGGGAGGGATTAGATGTTAAAAATGGTCAGCACACTAACTGGTGAACTTATAGGTAAATCTAAACAAGCATGGAACATAGAATAATGATTAAAAACAAGTCAATTACAACTCAAAGGGACTCCAGTGAACTGACCAGAAGTACCGAAAAGCTCTAAAACGTGCAGAAGCATACTGCCACAGCTTTCTCCCATGGAGTGGCCTCGAACTGCTGACCTTTGGTGTTTAACTATTGCACCACTAGGGCTCCCTTACAACACTCATAGCATGATTCGTTTGTGGGGTACAAAGCATGGCGCATGGGACACAAGATCATGTAAGACAGGAGAGGGTCATCAGAGTTAAGGGTTGTAAAAGGCCCTATTTGCTTGAGAGGAGGACAAAGATGTGCAGAGTTGCCTGGCTTTGTACGGTCAGTGTGTACAGCCTACACCCGAGGACCCACTTTAAGAGAGTGGAAATGGAATGTATGACTCAGTGCAGGCAGAAAGGAGAAAAAGGAAGCCAAGCAAGAAGGATACTAAGTAAACAGACAAAACCAGAGATAGAAAATATGTCTGGGGGCAGGGGAAGGTAGGGGGAAAAGGAGGAGCTGATGCCAGGGGCTTAAGTGGAGCAAATGTTTTGAGAACGATGAGGGCAGTGAATGTACAAATGTGCTTCACACAACTGATGTATGTATGGATTGTGATAAGAGTTGTATGAGCCCCTAATAAAATGCTTTTAAAAAACAAAACAAAAAGAGAATACATTTAAAATTTACCTGTTAAAAACAACCAGGTTGGCCAAGCCAAGTCAAATGGAGCTACCTGGGATCTGTATTTAAGAGCCACTTCTAACGTAAGGCAGGCACTACTTAGTGCCATCAACCGTAGGAGACCGAACGGGCAGCGTGTGCCTGAAACCAAAACTCTGAAGGCGGAAAGCATGGATGGAACCAGGGACACCCTCCCCGACCCTCCCGCAGGGAGGAAGTGGGTGCAGTGCTGTCAAACGGAAGGGATTGCTGTCAAGTCAGTGCAATGAAAGGAAATGTGTGCAAGTGGTGAATGAAAACACATCAACTATATTTCTCTCTACTTCGGCTTCCACCAACTCCAGTCCAGACGGGACGATACCCTGAAGGTGTCACAAGTGAAAAAGATGGGCTATAGAAACGCCAACCCCAAGATGCATGCATTTAATGCAGAATTAGATGAAATGGATTTTAAGGCAAAAGACATTCTTAGAAAGGGGGCACGGGAAAATGATCAGCGATTTTCTTTTTTTCTAGAAAGATGTAACAGTTCTGAACTTGTATGTTCCTGGTACAAGAGGCTCAAAATATATACAGTGACAGAAAGAAAAGTTGCCAAGTCCATCC